ATGGCCCAGGATGCGGTTTCAAGAGAGGAGCCTGTGTAGACTTAGACTATCTGTAGTACATGCGTTAGGGAGGGAAGCCGTGCCGGGAGGCCCGCCCCCGTATTGCTGGTTGGGAAATGGCCGCTGTCGTCTCTCCAGGAATGTGATGAGACTGCATTTCAAGCAGCACCACTCTGCCAAAAATAAAAGCCTCCTTTTTAACTAATTTCCCCTCAAAATAGATAGTAGGCAACTTAGGGGACGATTAAAGAAAAACTGTTGCCATGTCTTTAGATCGATTCCAAATGAGCAAACAGGAGGATGTGGTGACATTTGCACAGCCCCGTGACAAGAGCGCAGCTGTGCCAGGCTCGGTGGCTCTGAGCTGCACAGAAAACAGAGCCCAGCGACCTGCACTGTAGACGTGAAGAAAAACAAAGAAAAGCAGCAGTCCAAACCGAGAAGGTGAAGAAACCCCAAGTCAGAAACTGACACTGTAACTCATGCCTAGTCGTCCTGGTCCTCCGTGAGCAGAGGACATGGTTGATCCAGGAAAAGACTGCGAAGGAGAGGAAGGAAGACAGGAAGGAGAGGAAGAAGAACTGGAAGAGTCTCCCAGACCCAGGGCTCAGCAGCTGTCTCCTAAGCCAGACATCCAACCTCTGCCTCGGCGGGGGACGCCGATGGGCGAGTGTGCTCCTGAAACACACCACAGCTTACTTCCTCTTGCAAAGACTTAGAAACCGAGAAAGAGACACGTGTGTGTCATGTAAGTGTAGGCAGCAGGACGTAGTTAGAAGTGCATGAGAATCGCAGCCGGAGACCTGGGTTCAAGGCCAGCTAAGGTTTAATCTGACTCGGCAGACTCGTTAGTGACCAAGGACTAATCATTCCTGCACGATGGAGATATCTGAGGGTGTGAAGTTTTTAATGCCCACGAAGACGGTATGCAGATGGGTGGTCTAGAAAGGACTATGGGAAATCGTCTTAGGTACCCTTGAGCCCTCCAGGATCACATCTCAGCTTTCTTGGGCTGAGTTCAACAAACCCAGAGAAGGGCCTTAGATAGACAGTTCTTGATGACATTCTAAGTACAAGGACAGGCACCCTCATAACATCACTTACGTCCCTGTTACTGTCTTCTCAGCTCGGCGAAGATGGGAACGTTGCCATGTAATTAAGGATCCGTCTTTTCATGAAGCTTTAGTGACAGTTTTTGTGGAGACAGAATCCTGCCCAAACTTGCCTTTCTTTTTTTTTTTTTTTTTTTTTTTTGAGAGTTTTTTTCTCTATAGGGCATGTGGGCTCGCCAGACAGACAGAGAGAGACATAGAAACAGAAAGCGAGAAATCACCCCCCAGGGGGGATGGTCATGCCGCAATCCCTCCTCCTCCATTCTCCTCTCGGGATCTTGGGCACACACGCACATGCGCCCGGTGTGAGTTCTAAAGCCACCGGGTCCAGGACGCGAACCGCAGTCGACTACATGGGAGTCCAGTGACATAGCCATTATGCTAACTGCTGGTTCCCAACTTGCCTTTCTTAAAATCATGCCTGGTGTGGGCCAGTGTGCATGGTCTAGGGGTTGTATGAGCTGAATCCCACATGGTCAATTGTGCGGTTTGAGTCTTAGACCCTGCAGCTTAAAAAACATACTGAGGGCATGTGTGTAAAAAACATACTGAGGGCATGTGCGTAAAAAACATACTGAGGGCATGTGTGTAAAAAACATACTGAGGGCATGTGCATACGTGCCCAAAATCCCTAGCGGAGGGAGAGAAGAGAAGGGGTTGCAGTGTGATCGTTCCCTGTGGGGATGGTTTCTTGCTCTCCCTCTCCCTCTCTCTGTCTCTCTCCCGTGAGTGCATGCAACCTGTGGCAAATGAAAAAGAAAACCATGCGTGGAGGTGGGCGCGCTTCCTCTAGTCTTGTCAGCTCGTCTTTTCCTGGACCCAGAACCCGGTCATCCTGACGGAGCTCTTTGTTGCTGGGTGGGCTTCTCTGCCTGTTTACACTCACAGACAGCCCCTGCCTACTGTGGTCACTCGTTCTTTTCCTGACATTTACATACATAACTTTTGTCGTGTACTTATGCAGTTCTGTCTGTCCTCATGGTACTTTCCTTAAAGACGCCAGTTTGCCAAGGATAAAATGAGTTCTTATATTCCTTTATTCCAAGGCCTCTGGCCCTATTTTAGAATTAGCTGCCAAACTAATGAAAGAGGCCCTCATTTTACCAGGGGTCACACAGCAGGTGTCTCAATATCCTGTGAAGGATGCTTGTGAGGCGGGTTTAAGCGGGCATTGCTGCTTTGAAGCTGCCCTTCTGCCGCACAAGTTCCCACCATCGCACGGGCACGCAATAGCCCAGCAACTCGCTCGCGTAGTATTTTAGTATGACGCACGGGCCGGAGTAAAAGTCTCGTGATCTAAATTCCTGTGGTTTTCTGGGGTTCTGTCCGGCTGCGTATTGTCAGAGAAGGGGATTTGTTGGGCCTGGCCAGATTTGTGCCTCACAAAGCTGTGTTGGTGGATAAGGAGAGTTTGTCATCTTCGAGGCAATTTCAGAATGAGTTTTCCTGGGACGGAAGTCAATCGTTAATCCTCACTGAATAGAACAGATGCGGCAGTGACTGGAAGGGCTAGGGACGCTTTGTCTTGAGCTGACCCTTTGCTCACTTTGAGAAAGAAAGGACAGTGACTTAGGCAGAAGCAGGCATTTCTCCTGAAAACTGGCAACTTCCAGCCGAAGCCTGAGAGCGCGGCCCTGACTGAAGAGCGGGGCACTGTGTCTGTCCCCTCCCCCGCGCATGCTCTTACTGTTACAATCCTGCTAACAGATTAAATAAACTTTGATTTATTAATCAGCGAAAGCCACATGTTCTGAGTTAACAGGAGAAAAACGGCTTGAGGTAACACATGGGAAACGTTCTGAGCCAGCTGACTTGGGGTGCCAGCACTCCAGGCTGCCGCCTGCTGCCCCCACAGGTTTCAGACCCCCTCGACAATCACGACCACAGAGGTGACAACACGGCTCAGGGGAGGACAGCACTGTGTGACGTGGCGGTTCCCACTGAGGTCTACGTTCCGAAACACAGACGGGAAACTTGTATCTTCACACAAGTTTAGGGTCACTGCGCGAGCCAGGCCCAGATGAAACTGCGGGTCGGAAAGGGCATCAACGAAAACCCTGTTCCACCCGCCCTGGGAGTTCTTGTACCGGACTCATGTCCGCATTCCTGTAAAAGCACTTCCCAAGACCCGCACCATAGCACTCTGACCGATGTCCCTAGAAAGGCACTCTCCCCACCAGTTTGTCTCCTCCGGGCCCATGGACTGTGAAAATGAACACAAAAGTTACACGAGTTCATCTTCAAGATTGAGTCTAACCATGAGGGCCTTCTACACATTTGTACCAGCATTTACCTTCTCCCTAAAATGTGCCAGGCTTTTGCTAGTCTTTCTTCCTTTTTTCTTTTTTAATTAAAAAAAAAAGTAGGTATTTGCCTTAGGGCAGGTAAGAGAGAGACAATGAGAGGGAAAGTGAGAATCCCTCCCTGGAGGGATGATGCAATCCTCTCTTTCATTCTCTTCCTGGGATTTTGGGCATGCACACACACATGCCTGCCATGAATCTCAAGGTCCAGGACCGGACAGCAGCCGGCCTGTTGGGAGTCCAGCCCCTTAACACCACGCCACCTGCTGGCCCCAGTAGCGTTTTACTTTTAATGTAACGCATTGCATGTATGAAGCTCTCAGCAGAGATTTTTACATTTTAAATTTTCTTTTTTTTTAAAGAATTATTCTATTTAACTTTATTTATTTTATTTTGACCAGAGAGGGACAGAGTGAGAGAGAGAGAGAGAGAAAGGGAGAAAACAAGCTGCCAGGTCTGGGACTCGAACCACGGTCAGCCATATGGGAGTCCAGCACCTTTAACCACCATGCCACCTGCCAGCCTACATTTTACATTTTCTTATTTTAATTTTTTTCTTTTTGTTTGTTTCTTTTTATTTTTGCTTTATTTTATTTTTTTATTTCCCTCTGTGCAACCTGCTTTAGTGCCAGCAGCCCACAGGCAGAGCAGAGAGTAGGCAGTGGCTTGGGAGCAGTTTGCTCTGGCACAGAGCACTGGGAGAGGCCCGGGGACGAGCCTGCCCAAATCCCGACCCATGCATGTAGAGACAGTATTAAGAGTGATAAGAAGGAGCATTCACTTTTGTGAGTGAATAAAATAAGATGTTGAAAAGTGAGGTAAGGTCTTACATTGAGTAGTGAACATTCAGTGTATTAAATGGCAAGGCCTCGTGCCTGGTGGTTGGCACAGCCAGGTCCCACGTGACCAACCACGGGGTCTGCGTCTGCAGCTTGGAAGCCACACTGGGTACATGAGCACGTGTGCCCAAGTCCCAACAGGATGGGGACACAGAGAAGGGCTGGTGGCATGGCCACCCCATCGGGGCGTGTGGGGTGTTTTCTCCCTCTCCCTCTCCCTCTCCCTGTCGCTGTCGCCCTAACTCTTTCAGGCAAGCACACAGCCCTCTGCCGAATATCTGAAATGATGCTGGAGTCAGGAAGAAAGTGCGTGCCGCGTGTGCGTGCCGCGTGTGCGTGCCGCGTGTGCGTGGCGCATGCCTTTCCTTTATGGACTTGCATCTGGGGTGAAGGTGGCAGGACTCGCGTGTGTGAAGAAGAGCAAAGTCGCGGAGCCAACCCTGTGACAGGGTGTGGGCCGGTGAGGGAGAGCGGGCAGTCACGCGTGTTGGGGAGGTGGGCGAGGCAGTGACCGCCACGGTTCCGTAACTTTGCGGGCAGAGTTGGTGGCAGCGGGGCATCCTGTGGGGAGAGCATGAAGCAAGCGTCAATACTCCTGCTCCTCGACTCAATGGCGCCTTCCAGTTTCCACACAATTTCGCCCCTACTCCCAGCCCAGTTCAGTCGGTGACAGACTTCAGGAAAGGAGGTGTGAGACTCACAGCCTCGCGTGTCCCGGGAAGCCAGTGTGGCCCAAACGTGCATGCCCTGTCTGGAGGAGGCTGCATCTTCTTACCCTGAGCAGGCAAAGACCTCGCTGCTTAGTTCTACCAGGACACTCCAGTTTCCAAGACCAGCTATGAGCACAAATTTGTGGGTACAATCTTATAAAGTGTGAATGACCCATTTGCGACTTTGTGACCCTGGCTTTGGGTGCACATGGGCTGAGTTCTGAGTGTGGTAAGCATCGTGGCTCGCCATCTCCGCTGTAAACCATTACCTTCCGGGACAGCTGCACGGATCAGGGCTTCTCAGGAAGTGGTGTGGAGGAGCGGTCCACCTGACTCCATCTGCCCTAACCATCCGAGGGTTCCTGTGCCATAGCTGCTACTGAGTTAAAGAATATTCTGAGTAGCAGGGCTGGCAGGTGGTGTGGTAGCTAAGGCAGCTGGACTCCCTCATGGCTGACCGTGGTTCGAGTCCTGGACCTGCAGCTTGCTTTCTCACTTTTTTTCTCTCTGTCTCTCTCTCTCTGTCTCTCTTTGTTCAACTTCAAAAATAAAATAAAATAAAAATAATGACAATGAATAAAATTAAATAAAACAATTATTCTTTAACAAAAAAGAATATTCTGGATAGCGAAGCCACTGCTTGGCCAGAGCTATAACTCTATAATGGGCAAAACCATCGAATATGCGAGTGACCTCGAGTCAGAGATCTTACTTCCCTAAAGGAAGGCCCACCCCAGTTCCGTTACACCGTAGCAGAGCAGTGCCCAGGCCCCCACGCCCTCTCTCCCAGTATAAGACATTTGGGACAAACCTGAGCTCTGAAATCCTCTTCGTAGCACTTCTCAAGCCACATAGAGAACGGTCTTCGTTGCCCTAAGGGTGGGGGAGATGTCAGTGCCACAGTTTGTCCCTTTCTCCTGGGAGGGCCAGTTACTGCCATGTCATTTACGGGCCAGGAGAGAGCCATAAACGCATGGAAACGAGGAAGCGGGGCTCCCACTGCGGGCGAGCGCGAGGCAGAGCCTGCAGGTCCTGACCCTTCTCCTGCAGGTGCTTGCTAAAGCCTAAGCAGGGCTGAAGGAAATGCAGGTCCTGACCCCTCTCCTGCAGGTGCTTGCTAAAGCCTAAGCAGGGCTGAAGGAAATACTGCTGCCCGTGTTTCAAGGTCACCTTGACGCTGTGAGTCTCCACCTACGGGGAGAAGGCTGCCCCTTCGCGCAGGCCTTTTCACCAAACATTCACTTCCACTTTCTAACACGCAAGCACTTTCTTACGGCCACGGCAGGAAAGGGGCATTCATTTCATAGAGCAGGGAAAACAAAGAAAAAAGCAGCATCGTGTCAGAGTCCCCCATTCAGTGAAAGTGTCCTGCACACGCAACTCCCCCAGCCTCGCTCCATCTCCCTGTGAAGGGGGCCTGGGGAGCTGATGGGGCGGGGGCTGGGCGAGCAGAGCGTGTCACCGACAGTCAGTGCTTGCAGCCCGAGGGCACGGTCCACGCGGCCTCCCAGAGACGCGAAGTCAGTGTCTGCATGAGAGGCAAAGCCCAGCCTGGGTAGGTGGAGAGTAGGGGTAGGGCGGAAGGGCGGGTAGAGGAGAACCAAGACAAGCCTGGGGGTGGCATGAGTGGGAATGGAGAGGGCATGTGTGCAGTGCTGAGGCGTGGGCCATTGCTCGGCACAGCGGGCAGCCCGGGTGCAGCAGGCAGAGGGGCATGCTCTCCGGGATGGCCTCCTTTTAGGCTCCTTGTGGCCTCAGTTCTAGAAAAGCCTGCCCTGAACTTCTCTGCAGGAGGGTTTGCTCACCAGCCCCCTGCCATTTGGCCTGAACCTTCTTCCATTCTCCATCTAGCATGGTGCGCGTGGTAGGCATCGCCTGCGAGCTTGCCCAGGGCCACGCTTCCCTGCCTGGGAGGGCCAGTCTCCGCCGGCCCTGCACACAGATGGCCTCCCTGCCTCTGCTGCTTCCACACTGGCTCACCTTAGTCCAAGACAGAAACTGGTAAACATTTCTACTTTAAATTAAAGCATAATAAAAGCTAAATAAGAGCACATTGTGTTTTCATTTCCAAAAAGAATTTCATCTCATTCTATTGTTTTATTTCGTTCAGACTTGGAGAATGAATGATTGCTTTTCTGAATATGAACGGGTGTCACATAAGTGAAGTACTGCATCGCTTGCTTATCCTCTCCCTCAGTGAGCTGAGAATTTATTCTTTGGCCTATAGATTTGCTGCTGGGCCCCTCTGAATATATATGGCAACTTTTCATTAAAAGTCATTTAAGTCTGGTTATTCTTTAAGAACGGTTCAAAGGAGTTTAATGTCACCTTGTAAATAAGCAAATATTTATTTCTTAGCGCTTAGATCGTCGTTTCCTGAGGACAATTAAAAGAACATGTTTATACATTTTGTACTGTAGAATCTAGTGTAGTCAGATTCTAATAAAATATGAATTATCCAATAAATGACTGACTTCAGCGAATGCACTGAGTATGTGGTCATACATGTGTGTGGTAAGCGTGTATGCAGGCCTGTACATGCATGTGCATGTGTGTGTACATTTCCACATGCTTTCTCTTCCTTCCCCTTCTCTAAACTTTAGCCAGATGGAATTGCTGGTTATTTCTATGTAACCACTCACTCCATTATTTGTTTATTCATTCAGCATTTTTTTAATCAGTTGGTTGTTTAGTCAAGAAAATGATTATATTTTCAAAGTACTGAGAGAAAATTTCTTCAAAAATTGAGATAAAAGTATGTTTTCAGGGGCCAGCCCCAGAGCACTGTGGGGAGCTGGCCCCCGCAGGCTGACCGTGGTTCAGGCCTCGGGAAACACAGTGGGAGCATGGCACAGGACGAGGCCCCGAAGGCTGGCAAATGCACTTTCCTTTCGAGTTTGCACGGAGCACTTGCTGGAACTACGTGCCGAGGCGAAAGGGCCCGCGACACACGGCCTGTGGCGTGGGCTGTCTTCTGACCACGGCGGATGTCAGACACCAGTGAGGAAAACCTCCACCATTTGAAAAGTAAGCAATGACTTCTAGATAGCACATTGGTAAAATACAAAGTCACATCGCTAATTTAAAAGTACTTAGAACTGAATGATATAAAAATCTACTTGATGGAACCAAAGCCATATTTAAGAAGGAACTTGTAGTTTTATATTAGGAAAAAGAAACAAAGAATTTCCTCACCTATCTGAAGAAGTTTGAAACGCCCCCCCCCCCAAAAAAAGCATGAAGAAGGAATTCATAAAGATATGGGTAGAATGTAGAAAAAAACCAAATACACATTGGTGAGAATCAGTAACCCAAACATTGGTTCTTTGGGAAGAATAATACCATATATTAAATCCTAGACAAGCAGCAAATCAAAGGATGAGAGAAACAGAGAACCACCATCCAAGCAAAATTACAGACTGCAGGCGTTAACATATCATAAGATGATACAATGAACACCACGACGCTGCAACAAGGTATTTTTAAAATGCTCAGATAGGGGCCAGCAGGTGGGGTGATGGTTGGGCAGCGGGACTCCCAAGTGGCCGACTGAGGTTGGGGTCCTGGACCTGGCAGCTTGCTTTCTCACTTTCCCTCTCTCTCTGTCTGTCTCTCTGGTAAGCTTGCATGATCTATAGCAAATAAAAAAAAATAATAATAAATAAAATTAAATGAATAGTTATTTAAAAAGATTTTAAATGCTCAAATGTAAGCAATAGTTATGTAAAACTCTAGACAATGTTAAAAAGATAAAATAAATACAAGTTCTTCCCATATCTTTATAGATTTTGGTATGTAAATTTTATCAGTTGCTGAGGGAGAAGTACTAAAATCTAAAATCCCTGTGATGATTTCAGATTTTTCCATTTCTTTTTAATTCTGTTCATTTTTGCTTTACATTACTAATAAATAGTAGTAAAATCTTATATTTGTGTTTTCTCTTGGTGGCTTTTTGTGGTAGAGTTTTGTGCTATTAATGTGTTTCTAAGTCCAGAATTACGCCCATAGAAAAAAAGCTTGGGACCAGCAGTTAGCATAATGGCTATGTCGCTGGACTCCCACGTAGTCGACCGCGGTTCGCGTCCTAGACCCGGTGGCTTAAACTCATGCCTGGCGCGTGTGCGTGCGTGCCCAGGATCCCGAAAGGAGAATGGAGGAGAAGGGACTGTGGCGTGGCCATTCCCCCTGGGG